TTTTTTGGTTCAAGTACTGTTCTATAACAATAAAATCAACACTCTGATATGTGATTCTCTTTTCAAACTGAAATTAAAATATGTAAAACTGAAATAAAGTAGTGGTGGCACTTTTACTTTACTCTTTCTTTAGGTAAATAAGGTAAAGTAAATAATCTACTTACTATTTACTTTTGTAAGATAAATAAAATATTTACTATTTACCTTAGTAAAGTAAATATATTTACTAGTAAATATAAAAATGTAATTCATATTTCTCGATCATATCTAAAAGTTAAGTATATTTTTACATCAAAATCTTACACTATGTATTTCGTGTTTATACTATAGGCACACATAGGATTATTCGCACGAAGAATCAGCTGAACTGATTTACCATATTGTATGATACCATAAATATATTTGCCTTTCTGGCATATCAAAAATACATTTATGGTATCTTCATTCATGTACTTCTATTTAAAAATATTAGTCACCAAGTTTTCTTCACAAAGTAAAACTTCAAAAGCAAACAAAAATAATGAATAGCAACAATGTGTAGAGAAAAATTTCACGTTACAAAATAGAGATTATGAAAGTAAAGCTAGTAACTGAACTGGTGGAAATAAACTTAGTTGAAATCAATCCCTTAGAACCCAGCTAGGCAGTTTGAATACAGCTCCAAAAAGTTGATTCAATGAAATGTAAGAAATTGAGAAAGGCTTAGTTAGTAAAAAAATGCAATTTCAGCTATATAAAATATATTAGTATCCCAGTTTCTTTAATTAGGAATAGCAGGTGATGCAGCATTTTCATACGGAATGCGGTTCATAAAAGATGTTTTTGACACGAGAAAAGGATAATTTTTGTTTTTACCTATTCGGCCAGAAATTTGAGGACAGCCAAGTCTTAGAATTTTGATTCGGATATAGGGATAGATCAGCTACTAGTACATACTCAAACCCCAGTGACTGGAAGAATTGTTCAAACAGTTCTTCTGGTAGACCGGATCTGCTCAAATAATTTCTCAAATAAGAAATGATCTATTTTCATAGTTCAGTTCATGGAGTTGAACGATCCTAGAAACTTTATTTGTTGTTCATAAAGATGTTCCTATAGTAAAACAAATGTTTTGTATGCAATGAAGTGTTGCTCTTAAAAATGCAAATAAATATAAATATATTAGTTCATAACACAAAACATTTTCGACAGTTCTTCGGGTTCGAACTAAAACTTAACTTCTAAATCCCTATTCTTCCGAGGCTGAGGAGCAGATTATTGATGGCGAGACTACCGTTATTCACATCATCACATGTCAATAATCATGTAAAAAGCTCAAATATTGCATCAAAATAACGGCTGCTTAATCAAAAACGTCAACTTTGAGTTCGTTCAAGCCTCAGTCTTAATTTCAATGAGCCTGAAGCTCTTATTGTTCAGTCTCAGTAAAGTTCAGTCCTTATTCAGCCTACATGTTCTACGGCCTATGACCGGGATACGCTGTGCTAACTAAGTCACAAAGAATACAAGCAAATTATCACATGTTCAATTTTATAGGAAAAAACGTCAGAACGCATATATGCGTCAGCGGTCTTGAAAGGGTTAAAAAATTTAGGGAGAAGCAGATTATAAAAAATTCAATATCCTTTTCTAGTGATGCATCATCCTATCTCGACACGTGCTAAAAGTTCAACAGAAATATCAAATGACGCGACGCAAGTATTCTACTACTCATTCGATCAGCCAAATCCCTATTACGATAATGGTCCAAATCTTTTAAATGCAACAACTACGAACATTTTATCATCTGCAACTGGACATGTGGGGCAAGCCCTTCGCTTCACAAGCACTTCAAGTTATATACAAATATGCTGTTTTACTGGGGTTGGTTGGCCCTCTAGTAGGTCGCTTACATTTGCCATGTGGGTCTCCCCCTCATCTATCAATGGCGGTAATTTCATATATAGTACTCAAGGATACCCGATGCTTGGCTTAACTTACAGCGGTCAAGTCTCTGCCCAATTTCTACAAGGATCTCCTGCATACGTTTGGCAACCTGTATATGGTACTTTTGTAGTAGTGAATACTTGGGTGCATGTGGCCTGCACATATAGCGTAGCAAATGGTTTTATTTTATATGTTAATGGTGTAGCATATGTTCCAGTAACGGGCGCTACCGCGTACTATTTTACCTACCAAGTCCAAGCAATTCAGATGGGAACTAGTAATGGTAATGGTTATATACCATCGTATGGTTTTCAAGGATCAGTTGATGAATTTTATGCTTATAGACGCGAACTGAGTGGCACAGAAATATTAGCATTAGCTAGTGTATAATGATAATATTACAGCAGTACTTCAGTTCAAACATTTATACACACAGAACCTTCTTTCTTCTGTTCGTAGCTGCAAGATTTTTCAGTAACGAAACGTTGTGGAGAGCTCGGACTGGTCTAAAATTGACGAAAACACATGTGGCTAGAGGCTAATAGAGCTCGATTTTTGATATTTTTCTTTTCAAATTAATAGCCAGTGTTAAAAGTCCAAAATTCGAAAAAGTCGCATTAACTTTGGTAAAGATATTTTTCTAATCATAAATCTAGACCGAATATCAAAAATCGGCCTATATTAGCCTTTAGCCACATGCGTCAGCTTCGATTTAAGGCCTTCCTGAGCTCTCTGCGATGTATCGTTACCGAGAAATCTGGGCGGTACAAAACACTCTCATAACACAAGACAATCTAGTCTTCCATTTTGTCCGGCATATAGAATCCTAAAGATTGATCTTCTGTTGTCATAACTGTTTTTCGCTTGAGGGTAATGAGAAAAATGCTTCTTAGACCAAAGTTAGTATTGTTGACAGAATTTTATCAATATTTTAGTGTTTTCGTTGGTTCTTTTACAGAAAAATACAGAAGTGTGAAGACACAGAAATTATACAGATGCAGGTTATAAGCAGATAGAAGTAATTCTTTCAATTTGAAATTTGTTTGAGCAAAGTTCTAAAAGTATCCTATAGAGAAGAGTTACTAAATGACTCAGAGGTAAAATTACATTGGAAAATGATGAAGTTGAGGTTAAAGGCTCCAGCTAGTGTAAGTTGAAACAGTTTAAAAGCAATATCACGGAGAGAGAGAGATACTTATTATCAGTTTATGTATACTCATGATTTTAACCAAAACTGCATTAACTATTAATGCAGTTAAGTTAAAACTGTTTTTTAACTTGAGCAGTTTGATACGTCAGCAAGTGAGCTCTGTGTGAGGAACTTATATTTCTTTCAGTTATAAGTCCTTGAGTTGATTGTATGCGTGCGTTAAGATATGTAGTATCGCTCTTTTATTCGACTACTCTTTATCACAAACTACAAAAAAACTTACTCTAACAGAAGGAAAACACTAATATATATATTTACTACTGCATGTACAAAAGATAAGAACAGCAAAAGAACAAAGCGAGAAAAGAACAAAAACAGACAAGGAACAGTACGGAACAAAAGAGAGCAGCCCTACCCGAAAGAAGTACCTACTAAATAAATAGAGAGGCTGTGGTAAAAAATCGTCACACCCTATCACATACCAAGTAAAACATCAAGGCACACCTTAGCAATAACAAGTTCATGTTAGTAGTTTAGCTCGAGTTCGTGAACGTTGGAATTACGATAATAATTAATTATCGCATTGTTATTATTTATTATTATATGAACTGTCAATTGTTTATGAAAGACAAATTGGCTGATACGAGTAGGACAGATACACTGTAATGTAGGGAATTATTTATAGAGAATACTCGGCGATTTTCAAAAAGTCCATATATAAATTGCTTGAGGATTTTCTAGATTCTAGAAAGTCGAATTTACAAGAAACTTGGAAATTCGATCTCGATTTTCCAGCATTCTGGGAATTCGGGGTTGAATTTCTATAAATAAGTTCCAAGATTCTTGAAATTCTAGATCGAATTTCCAGTTCGATTTTCTAGAATTAAGAAAAATATTCAGCGATTTTTGATATCTATATAAATGTCGAATAGTTTTTGGGCAGGTTAGGTATTATTTTCCTTTATTTTTATTTTTATCTTTTGTATTCTGTAGGGCATTCTGTAGTACTGTACTGTACCAATAGTACGCCAAAATGCACAGCTCTTACGGTACCGTTCAGACAGTACCGACACAGTCACTCCAAGTACACTTGGAGATTTCTCAACTTTTCTACAGTGCAGATTATAATGCAACTGGTAGACCAATAGAATTCAAGGTTAGACCTGTATAATGTAGTACCACAAAGAATATTAATACCTGAGAAATTCGAATTTCAAGAACTTTGGGAATTATTTATAGAAAATTGATCGATTTTCTAGAATATTAGAAAATCAAACTCGAATTTCTAGTATTTATAAAATCGACGCCAAATTTTCATGTTTTTGAAAATTCTATGGCGAAATTCTGAATAAAATGAAAAGTCAGTTTACAGAAAATCGCGAATTTCTAAAACATTAGAAAATCTACAAGCATTTTAGAAATATCAGAAAAAGCTCTACGATTTTCCAGATCGATTTTCTATAAACTAGAAATTAATTGAAAATTACAGTGTACGAATGGTTTTGTGCAGAATGAGTAGTAGAGATTTGACGCAAAAATATTTTAGATCAGGTCTTGAGTAGCAGACGTAGATAATCTTGGGATTGCTCTCTGTTATTTACACCTAGCACATATATTGAAAGAGATGGATGATTATGATCTTGCTTTAGAACTACTTTTAATGTATAAAGCCCTCCGCTGCATACACAACTATTGAAGAACGTATCATTTTTCTAGAAGGAATGAGGTTAGCAAGGATAACAACTACACTAAATTTGTGATAAAAAATACCAAGGAACCTTTAAAAACTTAATTTTGTTTTGATATTCTTTATAGAGATCGTGCAAGTTTGTTCGATTCCAGAATCCAGATCTTTCAATCCAGATCTTTTATCAAAACCCACTGTTAGATCGTAAAAGAAATCACAGTACTTGTTATAACTTATTGATCATTATTGCCGTTGTTCTATGCAACATTAAAGTGGCCTCAGGCCAGCAGATACTTTAAGAGTCAATCGCTTGTGACGAATTTCATACGTGTACAGAACTGGTACCTTCGCAGCTGTTAAAACGTAGATGATTCGGCTTTCCGATGTTTTGAATCGATAGAAAAAGCATAACAACAGCAGCAGTGTGAATCATTTTATTTTATTTTAAATTCCGACATCTCGATTTATTAAAAAATCATTGTCAAGGATATAAAAATACAAGGTCTAAATTGTATATATATATGTTGCGCAGTTCTTGTACTTTCTATTCTTTTCTTACTATCTTTCTCTTTTTACTTTCTAACCTATTCAAGAAATAGAATAAGCCAAAAAATAAAAAAGAGAAAAGAGGAAATTTCTTGAATAGGTTAGAAAGTAAAAAGAGTAGATAGTAAGAAAAGAATAGAAAGTACAAGAACTGCGCAACATATATATATATATACAATTTAGACCTTGTACTTTTATATCCCTGACAATGATTTTTTAATAAATCGAGATGTCGGAATTTAAAATAAAATAAAATGATTCACACTGCTGCTGTTGTTATGCTTTTTCTATTGAAAATTCTACCTATTAGAAATAATAATGTTTTGATATCGAAACGTCAACTGATTTATTTTAACTACACGCATTCACTTTGGTCGCAGGTGAATGTTTATTAAATGTTTTTCGGTTATGTGAATTTCAAAAGTTAGACCCGCAGTGTGTTACATAATGGTATAAATAACCGATTGGTATTGCTTGTCTGTTGTCCCAAGCGGTACATACCTTTTCACTTCATTTAAAAATTGAATAAACGTCTTATACGGTAATATTATATATACGGTCAGAAGAGTCTGTTCGCAGATCGCGTTTCGAAAATTGTTATTTTCAAAGAATAAAAACTTCTAACACGATGTACAGTTAAAAAGAATATGACTGAAGGAATAAAAAAAGGGTCGTCTAATCTGAATATCTTTTGTTTTAGTATAGGGTCTTTACTCACCTAAAATTGGCTAAGCAAAGCGTCATTTATGAATCTTTTATGTCGATATCAAAACATTATTATTTCTAATAGGTAGAATTTTCAATAAAATAATTTTCAAATTATTCTTCGATCGTCTTTGGTAAACATAGTTGGCTTCTGATTGACAATAAGTGCTCTGCTTGTACGTGTCCGACATACAAATAAGTACGAATTCAGCATTTTCAATTGCAGTCGCAATTTCCTCCATTTGTACACCGAATAGGTTATCTCGATCAAACCATACTTGGTAAGAGTCTTTGACCAATCGATCTTGAATTAGGTAACACAAATCTTTGTCGGCATGCGAGTAACTGATCATCACGCCGTATCTATTGGCTAAATGACCTTCTGCGTCTGCTTTTACGGTAGTATTCGAAACTGTCTGGATCTGAGTATTCTTGATATTTTCTAGTTTCGGTGCTTCCGCGTCTTTTTTTTTATCACAAACTCAACTTCTTTTTCCAGCTTCCACACAATTCCTTGAGCTGCTTTTGCAATGGCTGTCTCCGCAGATGATTGTAGAGTTTTAACATGTGTCATAAAAGTGTGATTATTGTTCAGAATACTAGCGGCTGTTTTATTAAATATCAGAGCCCATAAGATCTCCAGTGCTCGCTGCTGCACTTTAACAATTCCTTTCGATCACACATCGAATCAATAATGGTATGCCGTCTTGCTTAGAAAACTCCTCTTTTATTTGATCGTGTTGCACAAGAGCTAAAGACAAGAAACTATGAGCAAAATGTCCAATTGTGATTCTAAAGTAAAAAATTTGGTCATACCAAAAATATGAGAAAAAGTATCCACACTGACTCAGAACAGTAAAACCCTATTGGATCCGATTAGATCGTACACAACATAGAATAAGGCCAGATCCTACAGTAGGACCAGACGATTTCACACTTGCACTTCTGGTTTTTCCGGTCTTCTACACACTTTCATCTGAATGTTGGTAGTTCATAGCATCGTTCGCAATCATCGTTTTGTTGAACTCATTGCAAACTACTGACGGATGTCAGAAAACGTAGAAAAATTTTACAAGTTCATCGTGTACTTTGTTCAAATCCATGTCTGTTCATTGAATTCAAACAACTCCTATAACGGTTGCTATACTCTCAAGCTTTAACCTCACAAAATGATGAATAAGAGTTAGAGAAAAGTACTGGAAAGCCTCATAGTAAAAAAATTATGGTGTCACAATAAAATTTGTCTTAGTGCCCCTGCGAAAATAGTAAAATGATCATATCTTTGAAAATGGATGACGTGTG